ATAAGCAAGGACATGATTTCTCTCAAAGGGTACTTCATAACAGTAAAAAAAAATTATGCTTGCTGCAGCACTTAGAGACAAATATCAAGGGAACTAAGTTCCATCAGGTTAACAATTACAAAAAATTTTGGTTTTAAGAACTGAAATTTCAGTTCAGGTAATGTAATTTTGGCTAAAAAGAATCTGACTGTGTTTAGAGGTCCGTAATATTTTCCCAGTTCAGATGAACCATGAAATAACACATTTTTCATTGTCTGAATGGTGTGCTAGTGAGCTGGGATAAAATTTAGACAAGGTGCAGTGATAGAAAGAGAGAACAATAATATTGTTAAGACTTACTACACTGTGACTGAAAATATAAAATTCGAAGTATTTTTGTCTTTAGCTAGATGAAATTGTGAATTTTGGACCCAGACCTTACTAATTGTTAGCATAAATGTGAAATTCTTCACTACATTTTATGCTCACTTTGCACCAAGGGGCAAAGTCTGTTTCTGATCTTATTTCAGTTGTTGAAAATCAGTAAAATCAGTGTGATCAGTAGGTGGACACAGATGTAAATTAAGTGAAATCAGAATCCTAATTTCTGCCAAAACACAACTGTGTTCATTGCAATATTAGCATAGTTCTGCTTAGAGTCTACTTAACTTTTTGTTTGATTTTCTCTGCCTTTCCAGTAGACAATAAATTCTCCTGTATTTAAGGTAATTGGAATCACTGACTGTAACATTCAGGGATAATCGCTGTCTGGCACCCCTGGAGACAAAGTACAAATCTTCTGACCTAGAAAGAAATGAAAATAGGAAAGATATCCCCATCTAGACTCTCATCCAAAGGTAATGGGAACTGCAAACCTCATCCACAGAAAGTATTATTATGGCAAGGACATGAAGCTACAGTGGAAGTTTGTCTGGCCCCATGTATAGACCATCTCTGTGCTCCAAGAACACTCCAGAGGGATTTGTTGAATTTTGGAGACTGCATTGGGATAGCTTGTGCAGCACAAACTGGTTGCAATGCCTTTGCAGTGAGGTTCTCTTGGAAAAATCATTGTGCTGAGGAGATGAGAATCTGATCCCGCATTTGCCAAGGTTTCATTGGGTGACCTCTCCTAGAAATAAGCTGTTTGGTGTTTATAAAAAATGGCATCTGACAGCTTGGAAGGAAAAGCTGGTTTCCTTCCCATGTCAAAATTCATAAAATTTTGGACTGAAAAGTAAATTTTTATGAAGAAGGTAAGCATTTATTGGATAGCAAACTATTTCTTAAATTCCAATGGTGTGTTGGGGCCTGACAAGGATTGTAGTTTTGCTGTCAATTCAATTACCCTACACTTGTGGATGCTGGTTTAATTATTCGTTGCTGGTTTAATTATTTGTTGCTGTGTTAATTAAAAGGTGCTTAAATCAGTGCAAGTTTTACCTCTGATCTCAATGAGATCGGTCACAGGTCCAAGTTTTCTTAACTCTTAGAGTCATTAATGAAGAAAAGATCTTTCAGAAAGGTCATCATTCACAGCCACACATCTTGAGCTATCAAGGTTCATCTTGAGCCATTAGAGCCAAACACAACATAACAACAAACTCACACAAGTGAAGTGAGTGGTACAAGCTTATCCCGGAGTTTACTAAACTACAAAAAGACAGTGACCCTTGTGCTATAGGTAAGGATAAAGAAGGTTGAAATGTATAAAGTAGATTTTTGTTCTTGTAAACTGAATGGAGAACATGGCCTTAAGCTGAAGTTAAATGAAAAGACTGAAGGCACAATTTAGAGAAGACCACCTGAGACAGAGATGACTTTCCAGGAGATGTGAGATAAGAACTGACCTTCCTTCAGTCTTCCCTGCTGCTCCTCTCCCCTCCAGCTGCCTGTGGAAGAGCAGGGCAGAGCTGGGAACACCAACCATTGCTCCTTTGTGAGACCACTCACATGGCCAGGGGACCCATTTCAAGAAAGGGAATTCCCTTTCCCTTTCTTGGGAGAGATTGGTTCCTCCAGTCCCCAAGCCTGATGTTGAGCCCTCAGTACCTGCATATATGTTGCAGATAGTTTTCAGAGGAAGAACAAACTTGCCTAGTCCTGCCTAAAAATCCTGCTCAAAAGTACAAGCCAGTGACATTAAGCTCCTCCAAGCTCAGTAAAACAATAAACATCAGGAGATGGCTCAATCTAGCCATTCTAAATTGCTGTCAGCCCAAGCCTGAACTGAGGAACCTTCTTCTCTGCCACAGTTAACAGCTGCTACTGAACCAAATGTTGGTTTCTGTGGTTTCTGTTGGATTGAGACTTCTGAAAGTCTAACTAGAAACTTCTCACTGCAACCTTTTTCATCACAGAGAGCAAGCTTTATATCCACAAGAGAAGCTAGGTCCACCTGATTTATTTGCTTTTTCCCCCAGTCCAGCTGCAGTCTCATGAGACAGCTATACAAATACATGTTCTCCAAAACAAGCTACACAGAAGAACAGGAATATGGAATCACATATTTGAGGAGAGGAATGTGAAGTCATATGAGTAAGTGCACTGTAAAATGCTGGTGCGGTGATGACATTCCTACATAGCTGGTTTTCAGGAGATAGTATTTGAGCAAAGTTACCATACCTCAGCTAAATAACAGAGATCTTTTGAATAATCATGTTCTATCTTGTTTAATCAATTTACTTACAACAGTTGATCAATTAGTGCTTGGACCAACTGGCTAAACAGCAATCACTGTGCACTGGGATTTTCTGAAAACAATATGTATTAGCCTGGTTCATAAAAAGATAAAAATATGAAGTGATCTAGATGCACATCAAAATAGTCAGATGGTCTAGACACGAGCACTAGTTGGATGGGGCCTGTCTCTGTGACCCTCAGTAAGTTATTTAAGATATCTACTCCATCTATCTCGATTTACATTTGCATGAAACAGAACAAGTATTGCTGAGATCATGGGGCTAATAAATCAGCTAACACTAGTTTGTCTGCCAATATTTTTCTTTCTCTTTGAAGATAATGTGACAATTATTACTAGATCTTCTAATCATGAATTTCATCATAGATTGCGAGTTTTGTTTCAAGATGAAGACATCAAAATGCACACAGGACAACCAAAGCTTATTAGCTTCTTCTAAAGAGTTTTCCATTTTCCCACAAACAGAATACTAAATGGGTTTTTCAAGCCTTAGTTACATAGTGTCTCCCATGTTTTATTTCAGTAAGTGTGTCTTCTGAAGATCCTGGATTGGGAAAATACTCCAGGTGCAAAAGAAGTTCCACCTATGAGAATTGCTGCAATGAAATGCAAAGGAAAATTTATTACAGATTGTTCAGAAATAGAGTTTGTGTTCTCCAAATTTCTCTGAACGCGGCCCCCCTCTTTGGAGAGGATTGTGTGTGTGTGTCAGTAACCCCAGACACAATCAATGGCAGATGTCTTCATGTCATGTGCCAAAAAATATTTGCTAATTTAGGCAGAGATGGTACCACTTAGCTCCATATGTAACTACAGGGAGAGATTTTCTTCCTTAAGGCTGCCACAAAGAAATTGGCAATACTAAGCAGTGTCAAAGGCAAATTTAATTCCACAGCTTACAAAATATATGGTTTGGCACCTGGCTCTCTTCCATTCTTTCACAAACACTCCTTCTAAGCTCTGGGTGCTCTCACTTGCTCCTTCCCATGCCACATCATCCCTTCCTTATAGTTTCAGGTGACTTCCACATACCACTTTCCCTCCTGCTCCTTATAGACTCCTCTTATGCTCTACAGGTATCACTTTGTGACAGAATGGTAATACCTGCATGGTGGATAAGTGACTTAGGTCTATGGTCACTTGGGCAAACTCATTGTGAAATCAAGCTAATATTTCTCCAATTTTTAACTTTATTGACAGTGGTTTAATGTGCCAGTTCTGGCACAGATCTCATATGTTCATCATTGTGATGTTGAACTGAAAGGCTCTCTGAGCATACATTTATCTTGAAGGGAGAAAACCTTCTGTTACCCAAGATCTGCTTGCTTAGGCATGAAAATGAGACGTTATTAATGGCAAACTGTTCATGCCCGTGATACAGCTGCTCCCTCTCTAACAATAGACATAAAGGTGTGGACAACATTGACTCTGGAATTACAGATACTAGGAATGTGAGTTACAGCAAATTGGGATGGATGGGGTTGTTCATCACTCAGTTATTGCTTCAGACTCACTGCAAATAGCAGAGATCATTGCATTTGCTAAATCTCACACTTAAAAAAAAATCTGGAAATTCAGACTACCTTAGAATATTAAGAATCTAGAGAAGATGAAACCTTACAAATGTGATACATTAACACACACTAGCATACTTTTCCATCTATACATGAATTTTCACTATGGTAACTATCGGGAACTTCTAGCTGTTCACCTCTTTTTTGTGGTCTTCTCATGCATACAGATTTTAGTGTCTGTCTCTCTCTTTACATCCACGTGAATGAATATGAATAAATGCCTTTGTGTGTCCAAATGTGTACTTGCCTACAGAAAGTGAGTGCTTTATCAATGGCAGCTGAAGAACAGGAGTCTGCCTAGTAATGTCTATATGTATTCCTTGAAAAGGTTCAAGTTTAAGAAATGAAAATCCTTTTAAATAATTGGTTTTATTCAGAAGAACCAACTGGGACATCACCAGCCAGGCTTTTCCTGAGGTCATCCAATAAGTAAAACAGCAAGAAATGGAAACGACTTCTTTACAGGACTGGGGTTCTCTTGCTTTCAAATCTTTAAGTCTTAACACCATGTCAGGGCCACCAGCTCCCCAAATGCCCCTGGCTGAACAGCAGACCCCACCAGTCAATGACGGGCATCACTGAAGTTGTATTTTCTCAATCTCCCTGCCTTGATGCTGGCGCAAGCAGCAGGCTTTTCTTTGCTCTCTTGGCTTTTTTATATTCCAGTGGCTCCAGAGATCCGCCCTCAGAGCTCGCCAGGACACACATGTCTCTCCAGCCTCCACCTCCTTCCCTTCCCAAGACTAAACCAGAGCCAGCAGCCCACACTTCCCTCCCTGCTGGGTCCTGCGTGGGGCAGGAGGAGCTGTCTGCACCCACTGCCGCTCTCTGCTCCGGGGCTAATGAGAGGGAAGCAGAGAGTGTGACTATACACACCACGGATTCACATGAGAGCTTTGAAGAAAGCCAGCAGGGAAAATGAAAAGCAACTGGTAAGAGAACAAATGGGATTTAGAGAAATCTGTAAATAAGCAATTAGAACAGTTAAAGCTGTCCTTGTCAACTGCTGCCTTTGTTGTTTGCTTTTATGACAGCATTATATGAAGGAAATGTAATAGAGCGAGCATCATTGACATGTTTTACTATAAGGCAAAGATAAAAATTTTCATGTAAAGAAATTGTCTTGTCAAATCTGTTAGTAAATTCTTAACTCATGTTTTTATACATTCAATATGCATGGCTCTGAGGAAAAGGTCAATAACCGAATCTGTCAGAAACTGTAGATTCATACTGGAGTTTTCTTTCTGTCCACAGGAAAATTACAGCCTTCTGCTATGTGTGTAGTTTTCTGTGGTCTCTCATCTCAGCCACCATCCAGCAACAATCAAGTAAGGAGACAGACTTTATCTGCGTTTCATCTTTCTGTAATTTTCACTGTCAAAAGAACCATTCTGAGTTTATTCAAAATTAAAATCCTCTCTACCTAGGCATCACAGAAAGGGAGAACTATCTGTGTGTGTGCATATGTATGTAGTTGTGGATGGATGGATAAGGCAAAGAGGGGAAAAACCAAGAGCTGTGTGTGTTATTTTAAACTTGCGATTAGATAAAATTTTAAGGAAAGGATTAAAATCTGGGTATGGGTGGTAGGTACGGGACACAAACCTCCCCCAGTCTTTCAGTGCTTTTAGTTAGAGATTCTTGCGCTACGTGTGGCAACAATAAAATGGTTCCATTTTATTTGCTGGGCATAAAATGTAAATGACTGGATGCCAGCCATATGTCTCATCAAATAATATAGAATTAGGCTATTTCTAAGGTGTAACATGTCAACCTGAATGTTCCCTTTAAGCCTATGTTGTCAGAAGGAAACCCACATTAAGGTTGAGCCTTTGCAGCACACAAGAGGCTCTCTGTAAGTTAGAAATACATCTCCTTCCAACTTGCAAGCTTCGTTCTTCCCTGTCCAGACTCCACTAAATTTTCCAGGTTGACCTGATACTGGACTTGTACAGGACTCTTAAACTCTTCTAAAAAATGTTTATTTTTCTTTCCTCCTTCCTTAAATTAGGGGGATCTACCAGGTTTTCATGCTCACCAAAGGGTTTTTTGATAGATAAAATTCTGAAAAATTAGATTTTAAAATTTTATTTCCTTAAACAAATTTCTTCTACGTTCTTGTTTGGCTCAACAAAAAAGATCTGTAAGTTCTTCTTTCCACCACTCTGTATTTCATGAATGAACGTTCTCTGATTAAATGTGCCACAGAGGAAGCTGGGAACACCTGGAATCCCAGAGAGGATGGAAAAGATACCAACAGTTTCTCAACAGCCTCTTTAGTTGGCATGAGGTTTGTTTAAGTTTCTTTGTGGCTAGGGAGACTGTTGATTTAGGTAACTGTCTTTTTTTTTCAAAGTTTGCTTAAACCACCAAAAGTTCCAAATGAAAACCTTCTTACACAGCAGACCTTCTTACGCTGCAACTATTTCTCCCTAAAGGTCTCATTTAAAGGTTTAAAAAAATAATCAAATTATATTCTTAAATTTGGAGCTTTCTAGAAAGAGATGCTTATTTTCTTATGCCTCGACTTCACTGAATAGGGTTTAAAAGCATTGTTAGAATCATAAAATCATCTAGGTTGGAAGGGACCTTAAAGATCATCTAGTCCAACCATCAACCTAACTCTGACAAAAAATAAATAAGAAATAAGAAATAAAAATTACTAAATCATATTCCTGAGGACCATGTCTACCAGTCTTTTGAACACCTCCAGGGATGGTGCCTCAACCACTTCCCTGGGCAGCCTATTCCAATGCTGGATGACCTTTCAGTAAAGAAATGGTTCCTAATATCCAATCTCAACCTCCCCTGGCAGAACTCTAGGCCATTTCCCCTTGTCCTATCTCCTGTGACCTGGGAGATGAGACCAACCCCTGCTTTTCTACACCCTCCCGTCAGGTAGTTATAGAGCACGATAAGGTCTCCCCTCAGCCTCCTCTCCTCCAGACTGAACAAACACAAAGGTGGTTATATACTTCTGCTTTTTAATTATTATTTATATTTCTATTTAATTCATAATGTTCTTACAGTTGCTTCACTTAATTGCCTCTGATCTGAGGCAATGTTCAGACATATAGTTAATAAATTCACCCTTTTTTTGCAGGACTACCAGTCATTCTTGGTGCCAGTCAGAGAACTGATCTCTGCCCAACAATAAGGATTGGTCAAGATGACTTACCAGGCAAGTAGCATCTCAACTTTTTCAGGAAAAAGCTGCTTCTCAGAAACGTTGTTGGGTTATATTCAGCTCTGTGACTGCACAACTCTCTAACTGAATTAAAATGAAAGTTATATTCTGGACATACATATTTTTTTCCTCGTAGGCTTTGACCTGATTTCTCAGTTCCAAATAGAAAAAGCTGCGTCCCAAGGAATTATCCAGAGAGTACTGGGCTCCACTCCTCTACAAGTGGCTTATAAATTGGGACCCAATGCAGACTTCAGGATCCCAACTAGGTAATGCTTTCTTTTGTTTGACTTGTAAAATATAAATATTTCGCAGTATTATATTTTAAGGGATAGATTCTCTCACCAGCTAGATCACCTCATTTGAAAAGCTTTTGGAAGAGGAAAGAGGAGTTCAACTTTATTTTCACTGCTACCACCAGACCAGACTGACTCTGTAACAGCAATTTCAGGGATTGCTCTGAGTGCCTCAAGATTTGCTGGTAGAAAGGGATTTCCCTCTAGGAAGTGAAGCCAAAAGTTGTTGATGACTTGAGAAGACACAGGGAGGCAAAGAGAAAATAACAGAAGGAGAGTGAGGAAAGTTTTCTCAACACAATGACACAAAGAGATCTTTTTAATCATGTAAGGACTGCAGAGACAAGGTAGGATAAAAGCTGATAGGCTGTATGGTAAGGGCTCTTTTTTTTTTTTTTAACCGATACATTTATGTTCCTCGCTGATTTATGGTCACTTAATCTATAAACTATTGCTTAGCTTGTCACAGGCAAGTTGCAATAGGAGTCAGTGTTTAGGAATCTAATTGTGTTTGTGCTTTACAGGCCAGACTTGCTGCCAGTGAAGGAACAGAGACAGTACAGCAGAGTAGAGGTGTCTTTGCCAAACTTAGGCAAGTCTGGGTTCTGGTCCAGCATGTTATGCAATTAAGAATGCTTTTACTTAGTAATTAGCTGGCAAGACTTTTCAACTACAATTTCAGCTAGGAATATTTGGAGTGCAAAATGTTTCTCTCATACTCCAGCTATCACAACTTTTGCTTGCTGCAGTCCTCCCTGGCTTCTACCTTCGTAGCCATTAGGTTAAGCCAGTTTACAGCTTAACTGGTTGGTTACATTGGACTCATGATTACTTTCCATCCCAGTGGCAAATTAAGGCCACATGTGAATCCAACTGCATACAGCAAATGGGATCTTTATTTCACTAGAAGTTGGAGATTCTCAACTCATGAGAGAGATTCTCAACTTCTTACTTCAGAAATAGGCAAAACTGTAATACTGTAATTTTTAAGAAATCTTAGAGTTATTGCTATAGATGCTTTAGTGAGATATATGCTTAATATACACACCCTGATCAAGACTATACTAGCTGCATTAATACTCCATGGCATCTGAGCTTACTGCTGCAGCTGGGCTTGTTGGCTGGGTATGATGCTGCAGTATCAAGAATTTACAACATTCAAGACACTGACTGGCACTTCCAGTCCACAAGGTGCTGTTACACTGCAATGCTAGCTCATCTTAGAGCTGAAATTTGGCCCTGGCTCAAGTCACCTGTACTTGAGCTGAGTGTCTTGTCCAAAGGAATGGGTTAAGGCTTGACAGTGCTCTAGTGCATCATTGTGCACCTCCTCTGCCACTGAGCCTGACGTTGCTGCTCTGCTCCAGAGTTATTTTAGAGTATGTCCCTCTCAGCAGGCTGACTCGGAAGGAGTGAAGTTGGCAGTAACTAGCTGAGGCTAACAGTGCAGGAAAGGCACACCTTAGGCCATTTCCAATAGTATTTTTTTAAAATAAAATTCTTCACATAATCTTTATAATGTGGCATGGTATCTGGGTTTTATTGGCATGAATTTTCAATGATGAAATGCCTGAGGTGCGTTACAAGAGTTAGCAAGACATGCAGAGCACCTCGAGTGAGGCTGAGCATCATTGATGACAGGGGCATAGCTCTGGCTTCCTCAGACCCGGGTACTGCAGAAACCCTGAACCCCTGCTGCCTTTCCCTCCCACCACCTCCCCCTCCCCATTACCCACACCTGGAGAGTGTGAACCTTCCTGGGGTACCTGGGGGGGAAGGGAAGGGAAGGGAAGGGAAGGGAAGGGAAGGGAAGGGAAGGG